CGCTGAGACCTGTGACTACTCATTCTAGCCCTCACATGGAACATAGGGTCTATATCAAGTTTTAGGATTTCAGTATATTTTCTTGTCTTATTCCAAATTATTTCTCATTATAATAAATTTTAAATATCAGCCTTTTTTTTCATCCTTACCATCTGAGAGGAGGAAGCTTGTCTTAGCGTCTTTTGTCCTCTCACTCAGTGCTCAGCCTTGAGCTTGTCCAGCCTAATATGTGGGCAGGCCCGACAAGCCAGGCCTCCTGCTGCAAGCCGGCGGCTGCTCACCCTTCTCGCGGCACATAAGCAGTCAGATGACACATTTTCCTTTTGCAAAAGAAAATTGATTTTGGACACTCACTGCAATTGTACATTTCCAAGTTAGAGCTCCATGCTGTTTGTTAAAAGCCTCCTTTTGGTTAATTACAAAGTGCCTAAATGATATTTGATTATTTTGGAAGCAAAATATGCATTAGGACAGTGTTTCTGTGCCTCGAAACCAGCTGAATGCCATTCTGTTCTCTGAATTTCACTTTTGCTCTGGAAGCATCCTGTACCACATCTGTTATGCAAACAAACCCAACTGTGAGAGGACTTGGGGAAAAGCACGGAATCCCCTGTGAAGTCTCAGCTCCTGGTCTGAGATATACTTTAAAATACCTCGCACTTGTAGAACTGTCTCTTCCACACATCTGTGCACGCGTGTGACGCCTTCCCTCGTGAAATCGAACACTTATGGAGTTCCTGACAATGAAACCGGCGTGGGTGTACCTTCCTGCAGTTTAGCAGACAGTTGGTTTCAGGGAAAAAAAAACTGGCCTCGGCTGGTTCCTGCAGCTCATCAGCTGTTTCCTGAGTGGCTCCTGGTGCCTGAGTTGGTGATAGTGTCCCTGGACTTCGTCCTCTGTGTCCTCTCCCTTGACGCCTTCGCATAGTGGCTGTGATTATCTTTCCCATGTCTTCATTTGACATCTGTTCTGCAGCTGGGAAACCTCCATGGGAAAACGGAGGGGCCACTCACTTAGTGGGGCAAATGCCTGGAGGATGGAAGATACCTTCCCAGGCAAACGCTGGCATTACGATAAGGAATGTGCCCTCGGTCTTCATGAAGCTGCACTTGGTACATGGGCCCTCGAAGGCTTGGACGGCAAATCTGAGATGCGAGGGCACCCAGTAGGAAATGTCCGTTTGTTTTCTAAGTTAGTTTAGCTTATTGGTGACATCATAAGATCATTGTCACCTAGGCAATGGGACATGTTGCTATGGGAACCTCAAAGCTGTATGATAACACTGATTCAAAACGTTGACAGTTGGAAAAGCTTTTTTTTTTTTTTAACGCAAACCACTAGGGGTGTGTATGGGGGAGGGTGTTCTGTTCCAAGTATTTGCATTTAGAGTTTGTTCATGTAAACTATTTGGAGAAAAGCAATTTGTGACACTTAAATTATTTAGAACATTGGAATTTGGGGGAAAGTATTACCATCTAGCTGCACTAAAAGAAGCCCTTGTGTGCTGAAGTCCCATAGCCTGATGGAGGCAGAGCTGTTACAAGAAAGACACAAGCTCTCTTTGCAAAGCCGGGGGAGCCACGGACCTGTCAGATGGCCCAGCTCATGCACGCCTTCCCTTGAATTGGGGGCACTGAGGAATAGGTAATGCACAGCTCTTTTAGTTTTCCCTTCCCATCTCCTGAGATTTCTTGGTTTCACTCTACAAGTGATTGGAATGGCAGCCTCCTCTCAGGGAACCATGACCCCAGCCACATGCCATGTCCTCCATACACACTTACATATTCATTCATCCGTGCACATGTATGTGTGCGTATACCCACGTACACACGTACACGTACGTAGTCGGTTCTCATTATTAACAGTAGTTCTGTTCTATAAAGTCACCACGAACTTTGACTTACTGAGACTGAACCTTCGCTCTTAGGGGACATACAGGGCCAGGTTCCTCCAAGCTACTGGCCACACATTTTCATCCACTGATTGATAAACAACTGTCTTTATGCCTGTTTTTATTTAAAGACACTGTATTTAATACACATGTTGTTTGGTTAGCCCTGAACTAAAGGCTAAGGCACTGTAACTCAGGCCTGAGAGAAGCTTCTCTAACACACATTTTCTCCATAAAGAACTGGACAGCACTTCTGCACGAGACCTGGGGGCCATTTTAAACAGCCAAAGTTTTGAAAAAGCACAGAAGTGTGGGAAATGTGGCACTAAATAGACCACAAAAGGACACATTTACGGGTTGAAAGCTGAAACAAGAACCCACAGTGTTGCCTTGTTCAACCCAGCTGGGAGCCTCACATTTTTCTCCTCTCTGCGCATCTCCAAATGCGCAAAAGCACCACTGCTGACTGGGGGTTGGTTACCGACACGTTTTAGTGCGTGTGTGAATTCACACACGCAGGATCCATGAGCAATGAGGACACACTGTGTGTGTTTATGTATAAAATCTCCATGCCCA